AGAGAGAGAGAGAGAGAGAGAGAGAGAGAGAGAGAGAGAATGAGCGAGACAAAAATCTATTTGGAGGAGGAGAAGGAGGCGGCGGCGGCCGAAAGGCTGTGTGAGCCAGAGGTGGCGGCTGACTCCGAGGAAGCAGCATCTTCCAGACACAACAGAACTGTCACACATAGGAACGCACAGAGACTGTGACAGCGTGCTCAAGACCTGCACAGGTTTAAACCAAATCAAGTCCCAGCACTGAGAAAGGGAGTGAGCACAGAGTCCCAGCCCTAACCCAGAAACTATTTGCAGTTGATAACCTGCCGCGAAGGGGAAGATAAATCTCTGTTGGCAAGCTGAGTTTTCAGAAGCTCTCCATCCCGTCTCTTGCCCAGCTGGGGAATGCAGCTGTCTTAGAGGAGCAGGCGTCCACTGTGTTCCCAGGCAGCAGCGTCATGACCTGCCTGGGACTGGTTAGAACAGCAGGCTCTTGGGCCTTCCCCAGAGGTGCTGACTCATCCCTGTGACCCGTGTTTTAACCAGCCCCGTAGGTTTTCTGATGCTGATGTTAGAACCAGGTAGAGGCTGGGAATCTAGTCTACTCCGTGTTAAGCTTCTTCCCGTGCTTACGTGGGATGATGAACTTACCATGTCGGTTCTGTGCGGGGGACTGTGTGAGCTCCTCTTGATCCTCACACAGCTGAGTGGGAGGGGCTGTCTTGTCATCACGCTGTGCAGAGAAGGACACAGGCTCAGAGAGGCCAATACCGTGCCCCACATCGAGGGACCTGGGAAGCCTGCCTTAGATCTTTCTGGCCTCTCATGGTGCAATTGTCACTGGCTCCGAGGCTGGTTTATGGCACACGTTCCTCAACCCCATGACTCGTGACTTCAGGAGAGGTATAGAAAGAGCCGTGGTTCATAGTCCTTTGTGTTATACTATTTAAAATTTGTATTTGTTGTGACTTCAAACAACACAGATTTATTTTAGAAAGATTGAGTGTGTGTGTGTGTGTGTGTGTGTGTGTGTGTGTGTGTGTGTAATGTCTTTGTTTCCTATGGTTGTAATAGTAATAAACATTGTTTTTCTTTTCTCTTGCGGTGCTGGAGTTTGAACTCTGTACTGTGTACATTCAGGGTAAATGCCCACTGAGCTAGATCCTTAGACCTTGTTTTTTTAAAGACAGGGTCTTGCTCTTTAGTCCAGGCTGGCCTTGAGCCCACTGTGTAATTAATTTCAAACTTTGGATCCTCCTGCTGGCACTTCTCAAGTGCTGGGACTTCAGATACCACTACATGCAGCTATTAAGTCACTTTTGAAAATATGAAAAGTATATCTTAGTATTCCTGGCAGTTTATTCTTATTTTTTCTACTTTTTTAAAGTTTATTTTTTAATTAAACAGAATATGTGTATGAGTGTTTCTGCCTGAATGTATATCTGTGCACTGTGTGTGTGCCTCGTGCCTAGGGAGGTCAGACTGGAGTTACAGATGCTTGTGAGCCACCACGTGGGTGCTGGGAATCAAACGTGGGTCCTCTCAAAGAGCTGGCATGCTCTTTACTGCTGAGCCATCTCTCTGCCCCGTTTAGTTTCTTTCTTAAAAGGATGCTTTATAATTTATTTATTTTTATTTTATGTGCATGTGTGTCTGTGTGAGGTGTCAGGTCCCCTGGAATTGGAGTTACAGACAGTTGTGAGCTGCCATGTGGGTGTTGGGATTTGGACCTGGGTCCTCCAGAAGAGCAGTCAGTGCTCTTAACCACTGAGCCATCTCTCCAGCTCCTTAAAAGAACACTTTAAAGATTAGATTAGCGTTCCTTGCCCTAGAAAATTGGATTTTTAAAAATCATCATCTTGTTAGGATCCTTTCATTTCAAGAACCATACTGAGTGCTGGAGAGATGGTCCGTGGTAAGAACACTGCCTGCTCTTCCACAGGACTGACTGGGATTCAGTTCCCAGCAGCCACGTGCAGCTAACAGCTGTCTGTAACGCTAGTTACAGAGGATCCAACACTTTCTTCTGGCCTCCATTTGGCACTACACATATGTGGTGCACAGATTACATTCAGGCAAAACACCCAGATCCATAAAATAAAAATAAATAAAATCTTAAAAAAAAAAAAAAAAGGACCAAAAAGAACCTTACTGAACAGTGACTTAGGTTAATGTCTCAATACAAATGGAGGACTAATGGCTCTTTAAAAATCAAATGTGAGTGTGTAATCTTGTCAAAAGTGATCATTTTCTGTTGGATTATGAATGTGAACCATGGTTAAAGCTTGGTTTTACTTTTTTTTTTTTTTTTTTTTTTTTTTGGTTTTTCGAGACAGGGTTTCTCTGTGTAGCTTTGCGCCTTTCCTGGGACTCACTTGGTAGTCCAGGCTGGCCTCGAACTCACAGAGATCCGCCTGGCTCTGCCTCCCGAGTGCTGGGATTAAAGGCGTGCGCCACCAACGCCCGGCTACTTTTTTTTTTTTTAAGATTTATTTATTTATTATGTATACAGTGTTCTGCCTGCATGTGTGCCTCAGGCCAGAAGAGGGCACCAGATCTCATTACAGATGGCTGTGAGCCACCATGTGGTTGCTGGGAATTGAACTCAGAACCTTTGGAAGAGCAGCCAGTGCTCTTCACCTCTGAGCCATCTCTCCAGCCCCCAAAGCTTGGTTTTACAACGTGAGGCCATCAGCTAGAGAGAGGCACTAGAAATCGAAGGCTGTATGGCATGCCCTAGTTATCATACGCTTAGTTGCCTTTAATTTTGCAGGAAGCTCACAGTCTCTTTCAATGGAATCTCTGCCTTTCAGGGTAGAATGCATGATTGTGGCCAACGATGCCACCGTCAAAGGAGGCAGCTACTACCCGGTGACGGTGAAGAAGCACATACGGGCCCAGGAGATCGCACTGCAGAACAGGCTCCCGTGCATCTACCTGGGCAAGTCACAGTGCGTGGTGAACGGTGGGAGCTGGTAGAGTGGCAGCCCGCGTGGAGGGCTGTGTGCATGACATCAGCACTGGGTGTTTAAAATCCCGCTGGTTCCTCCTGAGTGAGAAAGGAATGTAGTGTGTGCTGAGAGCCGAGGGGGGAAGGTGAATAAGAACTGCCCGTAGTACCACAGAGGTAAATTAACAGTTTGTTGTGTGCTAGCTTTTCCCCCTGGATATCTTATTTTTCTGTTAACTGTAATTTACTCAGACTATTAAAAAATAGCTAATATTTATGGATCTCCTGAGAGTCAGGCACCGTGTTAAATACTTGAATGTTATGTCATTTTAATAGATTTTAACTTAAGATGCAGTTACTTTCCAGAGAGAGTCAATTTTCATTTGAGAGTAAACTGCATTTGCATTAACGGCTGTTTTGAACCGAATCTAAAAGCAAAGCAATTTAGAATTGGCAGCTTCTGGAATCTGGTTTAGTCCACCCAAACCCTAGCACACGTTAATTCATTTGTAAACATCTGAACAGGTCATAATAGAGATATTTTTTCCCCTTTTTCTGGGAAAGTGAATTTGCCTGGTTGACTCACAGTGTGAACTTCTTTGTACACATAGGAAATAGCAAATGAAGCCAAGCTGCTTGCAGGCACTGCCGGTCGCTAATATTTGCTGGAGAATATTAACATTGCCTCCGTCTTCAGGGAGGTCATATTTAATGGGAGACGGGATGCAAAATATTAAATAATAAAAGACAATGACTGTGGGCAGTAATAGTAGATGTAGGATTAGTTCATTTCTAATTGTTTTTCTATTTTTCGAGACGTGGTCTGTGTAGCCTTGGCTGGCTTGGAGCTCACAGAGATCCTCCAGCCTCTGCCTCCTGAGAGCTAGGATGATAAAGGTGTGCACCACCACACCTAGCTCTTGTTTTTCTTTTTAACATTTATTCTGTACACTCAGAGTAGATGCTGGACCAAAGGGTTTTTACATTCATAATTTCATGTCCTCCTCATAGCTATATGAAATGGTTACTATTGTTCATTTGATAGCTAAGGAGGTATTTAGAATGGCCAGGAAACACACCTCTGATCTCAGTCACACAGCTATGAATCAAAAAATCTGTTTTGAGACAAAAGTCTCCCTGTGTAGCCCAAGCTGGCTTCACATGCCTGGTCATCCTGAGTGATGGCGGGCACTCTCGTCCATTACTTCAGTCTGTAGTAAAAACCAGTCTTGATATTTAGGAAGCTGAGGAAGGAGGATCACAGCATGAGCCATACAACTAAACCACTTAAAGAAAAAAAAAATCAAATCTAGACAAATGCAACAAAGCAACGTGCAAATTACCCATTAACCCTTTCATGGTTCTTGTGTTGGTCTAGGGAGATGCATTTTCAGTTCCATTGTCGAATTCATGGTGTTTCTGGGTCTTTGGCTGCTCTTTAAGGGACAGTGTCCTGAGCGGTTGGTTCATGTGGAGTTTTGATTGAAGGTTGGAAAGCCTACTGTGTTGGGAGGAAACCTGTGGTTGTGTTGGGATCGGAGACTCCAGAGGGAGTGGGTGAGCTTTTGTGACTGAGGGTGATCTAGTTATCTTAGGTCTTAATGGATCTGATTAGCTGTGCCCATTCCTTGAGCTGTGCTCACTTCTCATTTTCCTCATGCAGTTGACTCGGGAGGGGCCAACTTACCCCGGCAAGCAGACACCTTTCCAGACCGGGACCACTTTGGACGCATATTCTATAATCAGGCAATTATGTCTTCTGAAAATATCACACAGGTAATTTCCCATTAGTCAAATATGGTTTTTGTTTGTTTGTTAAAAACAAAAACAAAAACAACTCCAAACATCATCCCTATCTTGAACTCCTGATGAATTAATAATAGAGCAGACTTTGGTCAGGTGAGCTGGTTTAGAGAAGTAAATACTCCTGCCACCACGCCTGGTGACTTGAGTTCCAGCTCTGGGGGTCTGCAGGTACAAGGACGGACAGACTCTCTTGAAGGTTTGTCTCTGACGAGCATGTTCATGGGGTGACACCTTACCCCCTGCCATACACTAAATAAATAAATGTTATAAAATAAAATAAAAACCAGAATTGAATATGTAATATAAGAAAGTTTTATAATGTTGTCTTCAGTTTGAACTTTTACTAACTGCAGGCATGTTCCAGGTTTATAAGAAGCCGGGCGGTGGTGGCGCACACCTTTAATTCTCAGGAGGCAGGGCCAAGCGGATCTCTGTGAGTTCGAGGCCAGCCTGGGCTACAGAGTGAGTTCCAGGACAGGCACCAAAACTACACTGAGAAACCCTGTCTCAAAAAACAAAACAAAACAAACAAACAAACAAAAAACAAGATTATAATGAATGTTAATTACCTAAGGAAGACCGGTTTGAAAAGAAAGTCCTTTTTTTTTGGACTGATCTATTAGTACAGGAGAAACTTTAGTGCATGGGTAAAGTGATACACAGAGATAAGTTCAAACTAACATTGCTTATTAGAGCAAAAGATCATGAATTCATGGGCATCATTAGAAGATTCATTGTGGTGTTTTGTTGTTAAAAACCAATGAACTAGAATGCATGCATCAAGAAATAAACCCCGAAGCCATCTTGAGAAAAAGCTGTAAGGTAAATGTAGAGCCAGTGCACGTGGGTGTGACAGTTTGGTGTATGACAGTATCATGCTTGTGTGTAAGCGTGCTTGGAGAAAGGCACACTCAGCTATGAACAGTGTGGCCTCGGAGGAAGGAAGGAGAGAAAAAGGGGTCCTTAAGAGGATTGTGGGGACTTCAGTTATAAACCTGAAATATTTTATTTCCTTGACATTCTCAGAGTGTG